GGGTCCATTTCTGACTTGCTACACTGTGTGTCAGTAGTTTTGTGGTGGCTTCAAGGAGTCTGACACGAGTGTGGGCCTGTATGTGTATGTTTCATATCCTGCCATGGGTTTTTCTCATGTTGCCATGTGAGATGCTGGTGGAAATTTGCCTGATACTCATGAATGGGTACAGGAGAAATTGATGCCTGTGGGGCCATTATTTTTTTTTCTTTTTCTTTTTCACCTTTTTTTTCTTTTGACTTTTTACATTTTTATTTTAATTCCAGTTAGTTAACATGCAGTGTTAGTTTCAGGTGTAAAATGGAGTGATTCAACAATTCCATATATCACCCATTCTCATCAAGACAAGTGAACTCAGGGCACCTGGGTGGCTCAGTCGGTTAAGAAACTGCCTTCAGCTCAGGTCATGATCCCAGGGTCCTGGGATCGAGCCCCGCGTTGGGCTCCCTTCTCGGCGGGAAACCTGCTTCTCCCTCTCCCACTCCCCCTGCTTGTGTTCCCTCTCTCACTGTGTCTCTCTCTGTCAAATAAATAAATAAAATCTTAAAAAAAAAAGACAACTGCACTCATTAATCCTCATCACCTGTTTAATACATGCTCCCACCTCCTCCTCTCTGGTAACCATCAGTTCTCTATAATTAAGAGTCTATTTCTTGGTTTTGTCTCTCTCTTTCTCTCTTTTTTTTTCTCATTTGTCTTGTATCTTAAATTCCACATATGACTAAAATCATATGATGCTTGCTTTTCTCTGACTTACTTCGCTTGGCATTATACTCTCTAGCTCCATCCGTGTCATTGCAAATGGCAAGATTTCATTCTTTATGGCTGAATCATATTCCATTATATATACATATATATACACACACCACATACATATATATATCTTTTTTGTTTTATTTTTTTAATTTTTTATTGTTATGTTAATCACCATACATTACATCATTAGTTTTTGAGGTAGTGTTCCATGATTCATTGTTTGCATATAACACCCAGTGCTCCATGCAGAATGTGCCCTCTTTAATACCCATCACCAGGCTAACCCATCCCCCCACCCCCCTCCCCTCTAGAACCCTCAGTTTGTTTTTCAGAGTCCATCGTCTCTCATGGTTCGTCTCCCCTTCCGATTTCCCCCCCTTTTTTATCTACTCATCAATTGTTGGATGCTTGGGCTGCTTCCATATCTTGGCTATTGTAAATAATGCTGTTATGAACATAGGAATGCATGTATTCCTTTAAATTAGCATTTTTGTATTCTTTGGGTAAATACCATTCTTGAACAATAGGAGATATAAATAAATGTTTCCTCCTTCACCCTCTGGGTGGATAGTTTTGAGAATATTCTAAAACGTTCCTGAGAAAGTTCCACATAATCAAGCACCGGTTACTGGTCTTGGTATCCAACCCAATAACATATGCTTACATTGGTTTGCCCACCTTCCCTGTTTTGCTCCTGCTGTCCCTTACTTGTGCAGCTTAGGATCAATTCCCAAACAAACTACCTGCATATAAGCCTTAGTCTCAGGCTCCGCTTTAAAACTAAGGCAACCTGGCTAACTTTTGTTCCTCCTTTAAGATGGCTTCTTCATCTTCATCCTGTTAATTCTCTGTCTTCTCAATCATCTTTTTGTTCAGTCTAAGGCTGAGAACTAATTCTTTTTTTTTAAAGGAGGTAGTCCCCTTTTTTATTTATTTATTTTTATTTTTTAGAGATCTTTATGTATTTATTTGACACAGAGAGAGAGACACAGCGAGAGCAGGAACACAAACAGGGGAAGTGGGGGAGGGAGAAGCAGGCTTCCCGCCAAGCAGGGAACCTGATTCGGGGCTCGATCCCAGGACCCTGGGATCATGACCTGAGCCAAAGGCAGACGCTTAACTGACTGAGCCACCCAGGCGCCCCCTGAGAACTAATTCTTGTGAGCATATAAGTTTAAGGAAAACACATTTCCTCTGAGTCTAGAGAAAGCCCTGAAAAATACATGGAATCATGTGTCAGAATTTGTACAAATTAAATTACAATATCATATTAAATAGCCTTATTCTCTGTGAGTCAGTAAGCAAGAGAGGACTTGAGAAGACTGAAGGCTTGAAGAGGAAGGAGAAACTGAGCTAGATCTTCCATGAGGAATGCTATGGAATCCACTAGAACTGAGTGAAAAAAATCACAAGATAGTGGAAGGCATCCACAGAGGAACAGATGTATATATAACAGGGAATAATACATGTATATTTTTAATTAGTGGACATATGTGGTCCCCTCAATGCCCATCCCCGGTCCTAGGGGTAAAAAGTTTTGTTTCCTAGATCAGCTGTCTACACTCCCTTTTGTTATGTAGAATCAAGGTTATTTGCTGAAAGAAAACTAAATGCACAACAAAGGAGAACGTGTTGATATTTGTGACAAACAGCTGGTAAGAAAGGAAAAGAGAACCTGGGAGGATATTGTCTCAGATTTGAGGGAGCAGTTCCCATTCGTGAAAATCTTGCCTAGATCATTGGGAAGAAAGTTTTCTTCATTAAAAGAAAAAGAAAAAACCCCAACAACTCTGCAGCTGAGATTCAGAGCAGAGAGAGAGAACAATGAAGAGGAAAGACTACCAGCCTGGGAACCGGCAGGGCAGACAAGAGTAAGAGGTAGTATAATGATGTGGGAGTCTACGAGAGAGTCCTTGAGCATGCCGAGTGTGCCAGAGTCGGCCAAAACACTGCTAAGGCCTTGTTAAGGGACGTCCATGAGTAAAGCAACCTCTAAGTATACAATACCGTGTCATTAGCTACAGGCACTCTGCTGTATAATAGTTCTCCCAATTACTGAAACCGTGTACCCTCTGATCATTATCTCCCCCACCTCCCCACCTCGCCCAAGCCCTTGGGAGGCACGATTTTACTGTTTCTTTTGGTTTGACTATTTTAGATTCCACAAAGAAGTGAGATCATAGAGTAGGTGTCTTTCTAGGTCTGGCTTATTTCACTGAGTATAATGTCTTTCGGGTCCATCCATGTGGCCCCAAATGGCGGGATTTCCTGAGCTTTTAGTGTCCTAGCCCCAAATCAGATATATGCATTATGCTTTTTAAATTGAATTTCAATGATATTAACAGAGTTAAAGTGAGTACTTCAAATGTGGCAAGATTTGTGCTAAATGCTTTATCAACATTATCTAAACAAACACTTAGTATAACCACTTAGAGACCGTTATTGTGGATAGACAGTAAATCTAGACAAGGTAAGTAATTTACCTATGGGCACAATACATATGATAACTCTAGGAATAGATACCTCCGGTCTGCCTGACACAAAGTCCATGGTTGTAACTAGTAGAAAGTATACAAAAAGTCACCAAATGGCCAACTATGATCTAAAATAAGAAAGTCTAGGGAAAGTGAAGGAATACTGTCAAGATAAATACTTCTATATAATTTGACATTATTACTGACAGCATTTAGAAAGCAAACAGATGCATCTGCATTAAAGGGCAGGGGGAGAGTATCAGGTGGCAGGTCTATAAATAGTGGTATGTGCCTACTAATTAAGATGGATAGCTGAGTCCTTGGTTATACTTCTATTTTTGTTTATAAGGTATCATTTTCTCTGTAAGGATTGTTGAATGGCGGTTGTTGTCATGATCAATGCGTAACAAATGAAATAAGTTAATATCATTTCTAGTTGAAAAATACCATTCATTTGGATTGAAATGAATGTTTAAAACCATGAAAAGTGTAAAAAGAAACTGAGCATCATTGCAACACTTATCAATAAGATCTGAATCTGTGTCTAAGGGCTGTCATTATACTCTTGAGAAGAGTATGAAGTGCAAAAGTTAAATTTTTTCCTTAATTCATTCAAAAAACTTTCATGGAAGAGATTCTGAACAAAAAAAAATACTTTACTACTTTAATTGGTAGATATTAGTATCCTCTTCTTATAAATAAAGAAACAATGGTTTGCAGACTTTACCCAACACACCTGTGGTCATACAGCTGGTGGGTGGCAGATTTGGCTTTCTCGTCAGGCTTGTCTGGTTCCAAAGTCTGCTCCATATTCCCTAATTAGGCAGATTCACACAGTCTTGCAAAAATAAGCAAAACAATCCCTGGGTGCCATCAGCGCATTATCCTTCCTCCTCCTCCTAATAACAACCTTTGGGGGAAACCTCATGGATCACAGGCTTGGGCAGAATGTCACATTGTCTGACAGAACGTCGGCTTAAAAGGTCAATAAGCTTCTCAGTAAAGCATTCTAATCATCCACGGAAAATAAATTGCTCATATTTCTGCTGACTAAACAAAGTGAAGGCTAACTCATTATGTTCATATTTTGGGTACATTTTCTCAGGGCCAAAAAGTTACTAGTGGGTAAATCATAGTCTGACCAGCTATTAACGTTTTTCTAAAAAGATAGTTTTAATTATCTTCACCATGAGTGAGAGTTTTAAACACGATGGAAAAATCACATACACTTGAGCCCAACTGGAGGACATACAGAGAATTCACACTAAGGTGATGAGGGTACGAATGAGTTTGACTACAGAGGAAATATCTGAGAATACAGATTGCTGCCATAAACACCTACAGGATGAGTCAGGCTGCAGAAGTTAGAAACAATCAATAATTACTAAGATGGAAGGAAGACAGAGCAGGAGGAAATTGAAGGAGAACCCTTAGAATGGATTTTCAGGAAAGAGTCCTCTGACCATAAAAACTGTAAGTTTTTAGAATAATCTATCTACCACAGGAAGCTGTGAAAGTGCCATCATTTAGGACACCCAGGGATTAGACAGGATCCCAGAACCACTAAAAGCAAGTGTTAGCAGATACATTAGTGGGGAATGAAGACAGTAGCTTTTCCATTGTTTATTCCCATCAGTACAACTTAGCGGAAGTCTTCTTTGTCCTTGAGTAACCTTTCAGATGTTTGTTAAAAGATGCAGATTTTCACCCCGTTGACTCAGTTATGCTTTTTTTGACCTTCATGTTTCTGTTGGATTTGTTCAGGTCTCATGTATCCTGAAGAGTCACCGGTGTGGAGCTTGTGATTGTGACAAAGAGATTGTTTGTTTTAACATACTCACCGAGGAAAAATTAGAACATACAGATATGCAGTTAAGTATCACCGATATCCTAAGTACTCAGGGATGAACATGTTAACATTTCTATGAAGAAACTTCCCAATATTTCAGGTATGTGTGTGTGTGTGTTTATATAGGTTTGTGTTCATAGAGATTATAATTATACTATATAGATTCTTCTGCAATTTCCTTACTAATTAAATATAATGTAATCATCCTCATGAAATTAAATAATCTTCTAAGTATTATAATACAGATTGCATCCACAGTATTGATTTATAACTATTAATTATTCTCAATTGCGGGACCCTGGGTTGTTTCTGATTTCTTACTATTATATAAAATGTGATGCTGTCTACTCTCATACATCAATTTTTATCAAAGCTTTAATCATTTCTTTAAGAGGAATTCTTGAATCGCTGAGGTAAAGGGTTTGCATGTTTAATTATTTAGGTACCCTTCAGTTTGAATGGAGTGTTCGGGAGGGTAGAATGCAGGCTGTTGTCCATTTCCACCACCCAAACCACCCAAACCACCCCCGCCACCGGCCCGGCCCGGTGGGGTTGGCTCTCGCAAAAGCTGCCTGGGGCAGGGCCAGCTGCATTGACTGTCATTTCTTTGCTGCTGGTGCTGGGCAGATGTCCCACCGCCTTTGCCCCTGCTGGCCCATTTGCTAGCACTCTCACGGTAGCTTGGCGTAACCTACTTCATGGTGCCTCCAGTGTGGCCCAGGGTCTACTTACGGGAGAATCATTTGAGGTGTATGTTTAAAAAATGCAGGTTCAGAATCTCTGGATGTGAGGCCCCCAGATGTGTTTTTCAGCAGGTACCTCAGTGATTCTCACGCACATCAAAATTTGAGAGTCCTGGAATTCTTTGGCCACTGGCCCTATGTATTTCTATTTTATTTGGTCCTCGGGAGAATGGACTAGAGTTAATCACTCATCTGTTCATGTACCACAATCATCACTGAGGTATAGGTGACATACAAAAATCTGACCCTGTTTAAAGTTTACAATTTGATCACTTTTGACATATCTATACACCTGTGAAACTATCTCCACAATCAAGATAAACATTTCTCATCCCCATTTCTTTCTCCACCATAGGTATTAACTTGAACTTCTGTGATTCCTTCCAATCCACTTCCACTGTTCCATATATTCTTAAAAATACATTATATGGTGAAAAAAAAACAGGTTTTTTTTGGCTATTTTTAATGACTGAAACCAAACAAATCTAAAACCACAGCTTCTGGAAGAACCACTTGTTCTTGCCGGTCTTGTACCTCTCCTCGAACTTCACCTTGGCCTCTTGTCGGGCCTTTCGTTTAAGAGCAAGGTCTCTGAAGACATCCTTGTTGACAACAGTCTTGTCCAAGGGGATATCCACAGAGCGTCAGTCTGCTTGTGTGACCACAGGCTGATTCCATGTGGATGAGTTTCCTTATCTGTAAAATGGGATTCATAGAACTACTTCACATGATGACTGTGAAGATTTGATAGATAAAATAGGCAAAATAATCATTAGAGTGCTTGCCAGAGAGGAAACTCTTAGAAGTGTTTAGTATTGTTATTGTCATGATTATTTCCAATTAACATTTCCATCAAAAGCTATTTTCCCTTACCCTAGATGACAATATTATCACAAATATATTTGTAAATTTAATAATGTTATATTATTGTTTTAATTTTCCTTTCTTTGATTAATAATAGGTAGGGTATTCACCATATGGGTATTGGTCATTTGTATTCTTTCCTTTGTGCCTTGCTTGGTCATAGGACTTTTTTTGGCCTATTTTGCTGCTGTAGTTTCTAATTTACTTACTGATTTGTATAAGAGCTGCTTCTTTCCTGTCTAATAGGACAACAACCTCTTGCATGCTTTTAGGCAAAATGTGTGTGACATTAAACAATTTCCAAAACAAAAACAGCCATACATTTCCTCCCACATTTTCCGGAGTACTATTCTTAGGATGTGAATCTAGCGGGACATTTTTTACACTTTTATACACCATTCCCCAAAGATGTGGTTTTCAACCTTTTAAATTCTCATTTCAATTCTAATGTCTTACATTTCTTTGACTTAATGAGTTCTTTTTAATAACTTATCTGTTTTGACTTCAATCTAACTCCAAAATATTGATATTTTTGGGCCTTCTGTAAAAAAAGGCAATTTTCCAATTTTCATATAAAAAAAGCTTCACACTATTAACATGCCTTTATTCTCTGGGCTAAATAATGCCAAATGTTTTGCTTTTTCCTCATTAAACTAATTTTCCAAATCTTTAATGACACATAATGTAGCATATCATTTACAGACATAATATTTAGAATCAACATGTACTCAAATTCTTATTCAGTTCAGTAAATTTGGACAAATCCATATGTCTGAGCCTCATTTTTCTTACATGTAAAATGGAAAAAAATAATATCTATCTCAAAGAAGCAGTATGAAGGTTAAATAAGATAAAGCATGTGGCAGTTTAGGTACTTAATAAATGGCAGTTATAGTTTAACACTGAATTATTATCATTGTTTTCCAATGAACCTTCCTCCAGTTATATGATTATATAAATTATTCCTATCTTAGCGAATATCAACAGCAGTCATTCACCTAGTTTTGAAATTAGAAATATTGGAGCCACCCTCAGATCCTTCTGCTCTTGCATTCCTTACATCTAATCTCTTGTCAAGTCCTGCCAAGATAGCAACAGACTTGGCTTCACCTCCATCTACTCTGTTCCATCCCCAATGCTGGTGCCTCCATCCAGAACCCTCATTATGTCTTGTCTGGACCTCTATGAAGATAGGCACCCTCAAAGTCTATCTTTAAACTCTTGCTCATGGACTATTTCTAAATCATAAATTTAAGTTTGGCACTGGTCAACTACAATACTTTCCCATTTCTTAGAAGGAAAAGTTGAAATTATTGGGTATGGAATTTGAAGTCTTTAACACGATGACCTCAATCTAGTCATGTGGTTTTTATCCTCAGCCTATTTCCCTACATCAATGACCCTTTTAAATTATTTTGCAGTGTAATCACAAACATCTTTGCGATATCCAGCATATTCTGTGCACACTTATAGATTAGGGCCTTTGCTCAAAAAAAAAAAAAAATCCTACCTAAAACAGAAAATATTCTTTAATTCATTCAAGATTAATGGAAGGGAAATTAATATTTACTGAGCATCAAACAAATGCCAAGCACATTTAAAAGTTAAAATAATCCTGTGAAGTAAATATTACTAGTACCATGTTATAAGGGATACAACTAAGTATTTTGCCCAATTTCACACATGTAAGCAGCAGAGCTGGGATTCCATATTCTTTCCACTTTCCCAAAATATTAATTAGGTATCTACTCTGTGTCCTGTAATGGAATACTGTGGACATAAAGATGAATTAAAAGCAGATGCCTACTCAAGGAGATCACGGTCTAGTGGAACAAAGCTCAGATATGTCTTATTTATGAGGACATCCATGTTTCCACCAGCTGTGTTGGTGGCATAACCACGTTCCGCAATTTGATAATCCATGGCTGCTCCATTACCTGCCATGACTTTTCACTCTAGGTCCTTATCTGGTTGTGCACTTTCAGAAAAGGTAAGAACCTTAATTTACATAATAAATTAGCATCTTTACTGCTTTGAGCAGCGTAAGAAAAGGCTTGAGAAAAAAGTAGAGGATTGAAATGAATGGCCAAATAGGACTTTAGGCTTGCTCTAATTTTCTTTAAATATGTATGTATCATCATGGAGAGTTCATTGAGTGGCTGCTATTTTCTGTTCTACACATGGGAAATTTGATGTAGATAAAAGGCAGACTATCTAAGCAGGAAGAAGAACAGAGATGGGAATTCGAATTGCTTGCATACTTGGTCTGTTGCTTTTCTTTCAAACTACATTGTGTCACCCTTTCATAAAATTATAAAGCCAATGTCAATGGTAGACAGATAGATGAATAGATAGATTTTTCTTATGATTGAAAAAAACCAAAGTGTTAAAAAAAATTCCCATATGCTCAACTGCAAAGATTACTCCTACTAAGGCTTATAAAATGTAAAATTTGAGAGGGAGAGAGAGACCTCCACGGGGTCCTGAGCCCACTGGTCAGAAACTACTAGCATAGCAGAAGGAAAACAGAAGACCAAGTTTTAACTAGCTATCTGATATGCCTGCATCATTTGGGTGTTATCATTGGTTTTCCCATCTTAGAAGATAATAGTAACAACTTGCTCATCTCTCAAAACCATTAGAATAAAATAGGTAAAGCATATAAAATTTTTAAAATCAATGAAGCACTACCAGAGTTTCTGGTATTATTATTATAGTACTACTTTTATAACCAGAGATCTATGGATTATGGAATTAAATATCAGAATGAGAATTTAGAACTGAGAAGAACTCTACTACTACTTTCTCATTCTATAAATTAGGACACTGAAGTTCAGAATAGCTAAATGGCTGCCTAATGTCATATAGGTATTGCTTAAAATGCCACATAAGCACATGTTCTATTTAGTTATAAACACTGCTGGTTATTTAACCCAACTAATCTTATTAATGTCTGCACCTTAATCAAGAAAAGTGGACACTGTTGAGGATAGGGACATGGGTATCATCATATATGGGTACTGGTATGCATTTTATAAGATGCCTTGAATCAACTGTGTATACATTATCTACATATCAGAATCTCTGCCCTTAAATAAAATGCATTGATCAAAGATATATTACAGCAGTAAATGGGTTTGTAGAGATAGAGGCATAAATTTAGGTATCTAGATTAAGGTATATAACTAGACCCATTAAGCCTTTTTCATATACCAAGAAAGAGGAGCACAGACAGCTTAAGTAATTTTCCTAGAATAAATCATACAGATAATAGATGACAGAGTCAGGACTTGAGACTGAATTTTACTAACTCCAAAGACATTTTTGTCCCTATAATACATAGTACTATATGTTAATGTAATATTACATAGTAGTTTCTATATAATATTAAAAAATTACAGTTAATTAACAGGCAGTTTGGAGAACATTCTACTGGAACTTAAGTAGGAGAAATTACTTATAACTTGAAGAAAGATGGGCAATTTCAGTCACT